ACCACCGAGAGGAAAACAAACCGCCCCCACACAAACCAAGGCTCGAACCCGTGTAACACCACTAGACAAGCTCAATTGAACCGGGACTCCCTTCGCCTAAAACCACTAGCCGAAAGGGGAAGGATAAGGATGGCTCGGTTCCTCAACCCCGGCCACCGCAGCAGCCATGGCCTTTCCCGACGACAGACCGCGCACCATCGAAAGCCACTGCAAGCCCGACGCCCAAAACCCAACCCCACCAATGCTCCTCCAAAACAACATAAACAACCAAAGAGATGGCCAATCGATGACAAAACAGAGAGAGGGAGGGCATACCACCTGCCAATTAAAATCCGTTAGTCAACCGGGAAGCAAGCCCCCACACTCCGGCCAGAATCAGACCGTAGCGAAAATGGGGAGCAACGAGTCCAGGACGAGAAGAGCGGTTGGGGACGACCATAGGCCGAGCTCCACCACCGCCAAGGAAGGCAGAACGATGACAATCGGAGGTTAGGGTTTGGGAAATCTGTTTTCGCCGAGAGGAAAGAGAGGAACGAGAGGCGACCAGTTTCTTTTACTTCAAAATTAGGAAGCGAAATATTCTAAAATCGATTTTGAAGAAAAAAAAATATTTACATAAACTAATTCCAAGATCTACAAACATTGTGAACAACATTTAATGGCTACAAATAGTAATAGAAAAAACCAACATTAGATGCAGTATTTAATTTTAAATATAAATTGATAAGCTTATTAGCATCTCAACATTTATTTTGTACTACATGTATAATGTAAATAATTTTCTCTCATAAAATTCAATGTAAATATTATTTAATATATATATATATAATAAGAATTAGTATTTTTCAAAAACAGTAAGTCAAATCTTAGTCAAACTCTTCTATCATTAACTACATGCCATTTTTGGCAACTTTTTTTTTTACTTAAAAAGGGGTTGAATGTTGGCTTTAAATGCAGAATTTGTTACCTTTTAGTTAACATAAAATCGTATCATTAAAGCATCCTTAAAAATGTGGAATTTGTTTAATTACAAAATGAAGTTGATGTTGTGGAAGTTGTTCAATAAGTCGATAAGTTTTAAAAATTAAAAAATACAATTGTAGAAGAAATCCCATTTTACAAAATCCAGCATAAAAAATCTCATCGTAAGCTTACACAATCCCATCACATAAATCTCGGTAAGTTTAAAAAATCTCATTCATTTCTAACAATTTTTTTAAAAAATTATTGTACTTTTTTTTTAAAGGTAGCATACTCTAATGTCTCATTAGCAACATAAATCTTTTATGTATTTTTTTTTTCTTAAAAAAGAATTTTCACCTATCCATTTTACTAATATTTTTTCAAATATTATTAACTTATATAATATTTTAGATATTTTAAACATTATTTAGACAATAATTAAGGATATGGAAGATACATGTACATATATACAGTTAAACGTAAATATTTTTATACATATTTTCTTTACAGGGTAGTTTAGAAAAAAATTAGGTGGCTTCAAACATATTTCAAGAATAATATAGAATTTTTTAGATACATGATATAATATTTTTAGATGTTTTTAATATATATATATATTAACATAGAATAAGATTTATCACATATTTTTCCCCCAAAAAAATATTAAATACATACAATACAAAGTTAATAGAAATAGTAAATACATAACGTAAAAACTTAATAGAAATAAACAAAATTAAATATCGTCTTCAATTTTTATCTTAATCTCAGTTAAATATAAAATCCAATTTTATTTGTTACGGCTCGCATAATCTCAATTTGCATTTGTAAAATTGAATGTGGATATAAATGTGCATTATGTGTGGTTTTATTATTCGTATAAAATTGCTTTTGCGATAACAATTTTGTCTTAATCTCAGTTAGATATAAAATAAATACCATTTTATTTGTAAAATTGATAAATCTGCATATACCTTGTAATTGTATGCGTACAAAAATTATTTTAGGGTAACTAAAACATAACAATATTTTTGAAATCTTTTGTACTCAAATTACTTAAAAAGTAATGATAATAATTTTGAAATCTTCTGTACTCAAATTTTAAGGTACCGTCATAATCATGTCAATATTTATTTTATATATACTATGTAAATTTTATATCAAAAACTTTATAATGTCTTCATTTAAATACTAGTACAACATCCATGTATTACACGGGTGCTTGTTAAAAAATTATTCTTAAATTTTAAAATTAATGAGAAAACTATATTAAAATTAGTTTCTCTTTTATAAAAAAATATATTACTATATATTTTAGAATGATATGTGTTACTTATGACTTACATGTGTTATATTATATTAGTTTTTATAACTTATATCATATAACTACTATAATTTTATTTTTCTAATTAATATTAAAAATAATTTTATTATTGTTATAAAGATAAATATAAATTATTTTTTTATACATACAATATGAATGTTAAATCGAAGCTCATCAAAATAAGATTAATTTGATATATTACATGTGTAAAACTGACAAAAAATACAAAAGTTATTAACTTTTAAAATATATATACAATTCAATAGTTATAATAAGAAATGATATTAAAATGCAATTAATACATGTAACATGACCATAAATAATCAACACATTTATGGTAATCCGAACCTAATTATTTTTTGTTTGAAATTAAATTAAAATTACCCAAGCCTAATAACGAAGCATGTAATTTTGCCACATATGATTTCGAAGAAGCAGAAGCAGCTACGTAGGCTCAGCGCGTTTTGGATTATTATATAGGGAGATTATAGGTACTTGTATATAATATTTTATCATGTCATATTCTATCTATATTTACGTATACATATACACATAAACATATACATATTAAATAAGTATTTTTAAGAATGTTTTCTTTCAACAAAAAAACAAAAGTTTAGAAAACATCTTTTTACAAAAGTGCAAGTTAATGTTTTTTAGATATGTTTTATTTTCAAAATAATATAGAAAAGTTGTAGGGAATTCGCATCTTTTAATAACAATATACAAAATTTTAGATATTTTTACATATGTTAATATAATATTTTTAGAAATTTGTAATATTTTAAACATATAAATTTTATGTTCTCTTGTACAAATTAATTTTATATTGTCTATAATAAACTGATATACAGTAAGTTATATCCAATTTTCACCCCACATCTTTTATTTGTTTATTCTTATATTTAATTTATAATATTTTTCTTGCTCTTTTAAGAAAAACGATTTTTTACTTTCTTCATTGGGTGACTCGAAATCGAGACATATTTATAATTATTATTTAATATTGTTTACCCGTGCATTGTACGGGATACACACTAATAAATGAAATAAAAATTTTAGGTCTAATTTTCAAGTCGGCGCCAAAACTCCCCAATTTTTCCCTCCAATCGCACTACTCTACACATTCCATTTTTCACTTTCACTACAGCTGCTGCTTATATAATATACCAACTTACAGCCGGCAATGGTGGTCCAACTCCCCTGTGACGGCAACGGCGTGTGCATGGTCTGCGGCGCGAAAGGAGAGACGCTCTCCTGTAAGACGTGGCACATCATTTGCCTCGCCGCTCCCCCGGAAACCCTATCTGAGGCAGCCCAAGGGGATTGCCCCGACTGTTCCGGCGCCGCCACTGAATCGGACGTCCACGGCGGAGGAGGCCTCGTTGACAGGATCCGCGAGATTGAGTCCCGCTGACGGATCGGGAGAAAGCATTGAAACGGCAGGAGCTTTTGAGCGGGACCGCCGGCGGCCATGGTGATGTCAGTGATGATAAAGATGGTGATGCTGGAGGACTTTTGGGGTTATTGGGTGATAAGTTCAATTGCTCCATTTGCATGCAGCTACTCGACAAGCCTGTCTCTGTGAGTTCTCCTTCCTCATCTTTTTTCTCAATTTGTGAGTTCTCCTTCCTCATCTCTTTTCTCAATTTTTAGTGGATGAGTTTGACAGGTTTTGCTGAATGTTCTTTGGTTGTTTGGTTTTCTGAGTCGGATCAGTTATTCTCTGGGCGGTTTTAATGATCTGTGTGGTTTGCCTCCAATCTTTTTCAGTGGTAAGAGTTGGTTCCTATTTCAATGCTACATTTTATTAGGCTATTTATGCATACTATTTATGTGCTTCTTATCAGAGTCTTAGATGTTGATTGTTTTGTTTGTTTGGCTGTCCGATGACAATGTTTCCATTTCTTTGAGAATGAGTGTTTAATGGTAATGGTGCACAAGTGAAATGGCATATTCGGTTTAGAGGTGGGAAATTGTAGTCGAGTTCCTATATAAGCTGGAAATTTGCTGTGATTTGTGAACCAAAATGATACTGGATTTCAACCTTGATGGCTTGATCATTACATATCTTGTTTCCAAATATTATTTCCCGTTGGCTAATGACTTGAGATAAACGGCTAATTACCAAACACTTGAGTATTGAATAGTATTGTTTTATTACCAAGAAGAGTTGTACTATTTGTCGAAAGCAGATTCCTGAAAAGATGGCAAGGGAGCCTCGAATGAACTCAGCTATTGGTATGACCATTAGGATGGCTAAACTTTCCCAGGCAAATGTTTCAGAAGGCATCCCAAAGGTCTATCCATTTATCCGCAACCAAGATCGTCCAGACAAAGCTTTCACTAATGAGCATGCACGAAAAGCTGGGAAGGCTAATGCATGCAGTGGGAAGATATTTGTCACAGTTCCTCTTGATCATTTTGGTCCAATTACAGTGGAGAATGATCCATAAAGAAAGCTGGGATGGGCAAAAATTTGAAGATCGGATGGAATGCAGGCAATGGGGTGCCCACTTTCCTCATGTTGCCGGAATCTGTGGTCAGGCGGATCATGATGTTCAGTCAGTGCTTTGCTTGGAGGTTATGAAGATGGCGAGGATCATGGGGATTGGTTCCTCTACACTGGAAGGTATGTAAAGTAAATTCCATATAACTTTTAGTTGTCAATGAGAAAGTTACGAGATAACTGTGAAATATTATCTTATATATTATTGCAACAATTGAATTTAAAGTGGGTAATCTAACGATTGTAAGTTTTATTAGGAATGTTTCTTTTTGCCATATATTCTGTTTGAAGTCTGGAAACCAATTTCCCGCATTTACAATTTTTGTACGTTTAGTTAGTATTATTTTCTATTGTTGACAGTTGATACACCATTGTCAACTCTTGCTTTATTCTTGTTCAAGTAATTCTCTCTTGTTGTGACTTGTCTAAATAATGTCAGTTTTTATCTTAGCAAGGCTTAACGGATATGTACGTTGTTACTATCACTATACTTTGATGGGCTCTAATAATCCATGGATACATGTTCTGATTCCAGTTGGTAACCATGCACACGCTGTATGCTTTACTACAGCTTGTCGTTATATTTACTTCAAAATTATCTTGTGAACTACTTTATTAATTGCCATTTTTTTTTTGTGTTTTTATTTCTTTATTTTCACATGATTGCTTGTTTCAGTGGTGGACGTGATCTTAGCAGGAATAAAAGGACAAACAAGTTACAGTCTTCCGACCAGACATTTACAGAACTTAATGAAGCTTTGCGAGTCAGTTGCAAACAGGGTTATCCAGTCCGTGGCGAGGTAAGCGAGTGTTTCTCTGTCAGTGGAATTGTAAGAAAAATGAAACTGGTGTGATATGAAGGTTTGATTGATTATGGCACTCTTGAGATTCTTTTTTCTGAATGAATTTAGTTACTGCTGCTTTTGTGGGATTCAAGCTACTCCAGGTCAATTATTTTGAAACTGTAAAGAATTGGAAACAGTCAGAGTGCCTATTGAGCAAAATTTTAAGAGTTGGACTCCAAATTTAAGTTGGCTGTATGAATTACTGCAGGCGAAGATGACATCAAGTCTTCACAATGCTGGTCATTTTTCTCACCCAATAGCTTACTTATTCTCAATTTTCTTATCTTGGGCAGGTCCCATAGAGAGAAACGTTCTTCTTTTGCACCTCAAGATGGTTATGATGGGATTTATAGGATTGAAAAGTGTTGGCGTAAGAATGGAGCTCAGGTAGAAATTGCAAAAGAATTTTGCAAGTCTTGTTATTAAATATGTCCTCTGAATGCGATCTTGATTCTTATCCTGAAATTTGATAGGTGTGGCTGCACTCTTTTTCAACACCATTAAATACAAATGCTTCAGATGTATTGCACAGCTTAGCCGATGATGCCTTGTTTAGTCACGTTTCTTTTTTCGCTTCGTCTTCTTTACATTTTTCCTTTTCTTTCCCTTCTGTGAAAATTTTTATGGGTATGGTGTGCACTTCATAACTTAAACTGCATATGGTTCACTAGTCTTGTCTATGATAATGATTTGCAAATGGCATTCTAATGTGTCATGGTTCAGAAACATTGACTCGTTATACCAATTTTATTGATGAAGCTTCCTCCTCCAATGAGATTGATCTATGCACATCAAATTCTAAATATGATATTCCCCTTTGGTTAGGGTATGTTACATTACAGCAAGGTATATATACATTTAATGAGAAGACTGCCTGTGATCATTATTTTTGAATTTTTATATAAAAGTTTGAATTCTCCTTTAAGTTAGTATTTCTAAAACTTATGTTCATGTAAATTTCAGATGTAAGTTGCATTCAGGCACTGCGTTTATGGCGTAATAGTACTTCAGAGATAAACAATGAGCTATACAATGGTTACAATAGAGGGAATTCAGGAGGGCGGATTAATGAGATTGTAGCAGGTACAAGAGTATGGTTATGCAATAAAGGTTGTTTTGGTGTGAATCATCTATCTAATTCATTGTTTGTTTGGGTTTGCAGTCTATCATTTTTATGTATTCAAATGATAATCTGCTCAATGTTACTGTATGGTACAATTCTACATATAGAACGACACAGGAAATCTGCCTGTTGCCTTGACACGTGTGCCTCATTTGGTGAATTTGGTACCAAAATCCTTACTCCTCTTGTTGCTTTCAATATGCTGACGTTGTGCTCAATCTGTAATTTGTTTTCTATAATTTTCTGTCAGTTAAATCATTGAAAATCAGACTCATTTATTTACCTAATGAGTAAACAAACCAATTTTCATCATCCGATGCAAGCACCAGATCTTATGTTTTGTTACTTATTGTTTTGTCTCCTTGATTGATTCATTCCTCAATTCTGAAGCATACATTGTGGACATAAGCAGAAATATATTTGGTCTATTATTCATTGGAGACTTATTCATCATCCGTATATTACTTTGGCACTGTATAACTGTGCAGTCACTGACCAATGGTCTTATACTTGTGACGTTGTTTAAAACATGAATAGCATTTCTCTAGATCCTGATTTCATTATGAGAGTTATTTTGCATATTATCTTTGTGATTCTAAGTTCACTCGTTTTCTCCATCTCTCTCTCTCTCTCTCTCTGCCTTTTAATTTCAAGGATTCTTATGTTTTCAGTTTTTTTTTGTCACAAACTTGATTTTTTTCTAGGACATATTTATTGTTCAATGCCGCACATAGTAAACTTATAACTTTAGCACATGACAATCTAAAAAATATGCTTGATTGTGGAGAAAAAGAAATATTTAAAATAAAATTGCAAGTTGCTGATTTAGTGCATAGTATCAAATGCCTATCTCGAATTTTTCTCGGTCCAGGTACAAGAATGCTTATCGAGTTTATCAAAGAAATGCCAAAGCCTGAAACAATCCCAGGCTTTACATGGATTATCGTACAGCTCTTCCCTGTAAGTTGACCATTAAATTTAATTCCCCAAGAAATGCAACATCAGTTTTAACCTTTTTCGAATGTATTTTCCCTATTATTCCCATAGGCTTTACAGCTTACAAGTGCCCTTTTTCATTTCATTCACTTCTTCAAAAAATGTTCATGCTTTTCAGTTACGTGCATCAACTTTATAACTGCATCTTCAAAATCGTTCAGAAGATTAATACGGTTTTTCTATATTTCCATCATCTTGTTTGCCTTTTCTTTTTCCATATTTTCTATATTTTCCACATATCAATCTCAAGAATAAAAACTTTACAAAGTACTAAGATTTAATTTCCAAATTCACCAACTTCCATGCAACCTCATATCAATCTATCTTACAACCAACCTCCAAGTTTAACTACTAGGCCCTCAAACATCGACCATATTACACCCACAGCCCAAAACAAAATGTTAGCATTTACTCACCAATTATACCAGTATTTATTTATAAGCACTTATTTATTATATTGTATCATATAATACAAAATGAAGTATAATTAAAAAAAAAAATTAAATCAATTACATATATAAAGTAAAATTAATTATGTAAATAAACGAAAAAAGTATAGTATAGTATAATGAAATAAAATAATTGAACTTTTAGTATATTTAATAAAATGATATAATGATGATAACTTCAAGTAGATTTAATAAAATAAAATAATGATGATAAAATAAATTTATATGACAAAATCAAATTGAGAAATCAAGTTAATATGAAATAAAATAAACTAGTTAATTCAAATTAAAATACATACAAGATAAAATTTAAATACCATTGTATGTTCAATTACATTTGAATTGTAAATTAATTTAATATATATTATAGAATAAAAAAAATTGAAAGTAAACAAATAAATATATAAACAACATACGTTAAATGAATTTAATTTAATTAATAAATAAAATAAATTAGGTAAATTTATTCAAAATAATAAATAAGATACATTAAATTAGTATGAAAAAATTAATTAAAATAAGATAAGCATAAAAGTTGATTCAGGGAAAGATATGCATAAAAGGTTATCGTATGTTATAAATGATAAACTCTAATAATGTATTTATAAACTAATAACGAATTATATAGTCCAGTTAGATGTGGCTGCCTTTGTGTAGGTACTTGGAATGGCCAATGGGAAAGAAGGTGTGGTGAGTTGTCAGATTTGGACCAAATCATCTCCTGTCCCATCCCTCATCCCCCACAATTCCCATTAGTATAGTTGCATGCCCTTCATTACTGTGCAGTGAGAACGGATGTTATGTCATATGGGGACTTGCCTGATGAGTCATGCAGGAGAACAGGTTCCTGTCCGGTAATTGTGCTATTTACAGGAAATAACCAAACATTTGGACAAAGTATGATCTCGCTCTCTCTCTTCAGTTGTATTTTGAGCATGACGGTATGTCTTGATTTTTATTCAGGTGTGGCTGCAAACTTGTTTTTTTTTTGGCGGATCTGCAAACTTGTTTTCAACACCATTAAATATAAAGTACTGCACAGCTTAGCACAGCTTAGCTGATGATGCCTTGGTTAGTCACGTTTCTTTTTTCGCTTCGTCTTCTTTACTCTTTTTTTTTTTTTTTCTTTCACTTCTATGATAATTCTTATGGGGATGATGGTGTGCACTTCATAACTTAAACTGGTTCACTAGTCTTGTCTGTGATAATGTTTTGCAAATAGGATTCTTATCTTTCATGGTTCAGAAACAATGACTTGTTATACCGATTTTACAAAAGAAGCTTTTTTCTCCAATGAGATTAATATTCTCCAACCGTTATGCACATCAAATTCTTAATTTCTTGTTCCATTGGCATTGGCTTACTATCTGCTTATTTACTATCTTCGGAAATTTTTTACCTTTATATATAGTGATTGCTATTTTTTTCTGAGTGGTGATCTTTCCAAATCCAGCATTGTGCATCATAAACATCAGTGATGATATATTTTTTTTTTAATATGTTTGTCAGTGAGAAGTTGATGACAAAGATATGATGCTGAAAATTGTGGTCCTTGCTGGAGCAGATAGAGAAAAGAAGACCGGCAATCAGGTATGATGGGTCTGCTCTCAGATCTGGAACGGTTTGGTGAGAAAACGTCCGGATCTGGGATGAACCGGTATGAACGAGCTTAGATCTGGCCTGATGACCTTCGAGCCGTTACTGAATCGTACGAACACCTGCA